CATTATCAGAAGTTAAACAAAACTCACTAGTAGAAGTAATTTCAGAAAACTTATCAGAATACACAGTAGTGATTTTAAACATAGGTTCAGCCCCTGCCACTTTCTAAGAAACCAACTTTCTATATACTTCTGATCTTAGGTGGCTTACAGGTTTTAGTTCTCATCGTGCTGAACATGTGTACATGGGTAGGCCACTTCAGCAGCCCCACTATTACTGACATGGAGGAAGCCCTGAAATGCTCTTGTCTGTTTGAATTAGTGATTACACTGTTCTGCTTATTAACCAGACAGTGTTATGCTGCAGATATTTAATTCTTGAATTTAAAAAAATGCAGATAAAGCTATCTCTGATTCTCCTCAGAGCATTTCCAAACTGCGGCAACTCTCCTACCCAACTGTCATCCCAGGGAGGTTGGTAGGCTGCTCTGTAGATGATTAGCCTAATTAATCTCAAAATGACTGGAAACAATGCATTTTAGCACTTGCCAGCATAAGGAACTGATTAGTTGAACAGTATGAACTTCATGGAAGCTTGAACAAAGAGCACTGTACTCTCAGTTTTCTAATCTCAGCAGAAAACTCCCTTCCTGGCTGGAGAGATGCCTTTAAAATATATGAAACAAGTTCTAGGATTTCCGGGTCACTTTCAGACATTAAAAGTTACCGGCTGTGGGTTTGGATAGATGTCATGAGAACCTCAGCTTGATCACCAATGCCTATGTAAACGACTAGATGAGGTGGTTCTTTTATAACCCAGAGCTGAAAAACATTAAGCAGAGAGCTACTGGCCCTAGTGAGAGAACCAATCTCAGACAACAAGGTAGACTGGGCTTGAGGAGAAATAAAAACCAAGGTCTTCTGGCCTCCACATGTGTGTTCACATGTGAACTGAGCACATATGAACATATGCCCACCTCCACATATAAAAATATCTATATTCCAATCAGAGCCTTCGCCTTTTAAAACCTAAACTGACAGTGCCGGAGAATCCTCATGTCTGCCTCCTGCTACCATCCCACATTGTTTTTGACTGCTGAGGGAGGCACAGAGTATGGCAATAAACATACATATAAAATGTTTTTTGCTCCTTCTATGTCTTAGAATTGTATTACATTAATTATTACTGTATCTGTGTGTATACAACTTACAGGAATAGGGACTCTTTTTCATTCTGTGTGTTTGGGGACTGATTTCAGGTTATTATACTTGGTGGCAGGCACCTCTACTCAGGTCCAAGATAGAATTTCTTGTAAGCAATAATCCCTAGCTTTGGGAGATCTGCTTGCCAGTTTCTCTTTCCATTCTGGCCTTGCAAGGGGCCATACTTTGCTCTGAGCCTTGCTGCTGGTCCTTCAGGAGGACTAAAACCTTAGTTTTGGAGATAGATGGCAGAAGGAGAACTGCTTGTAATTTGCCTAGGGAACTGTCTAAAGCAGAAGCAGAATGCTCAGGAGCTGGGCTCTGGCTGGAGGCCATAGGTTGTTGAAGGCTGGGCCCTGAGGCTATAACCTAGCCTTAGCCCTCACCCAGTAACAAGATAAGTTGCTATCTCCAATGCCTGCACCTTCAAGACAAAAATAACCTTCTAAGTTGTTTCCCTCACGTGTTCTGCTGCAGAGCCAGAATAACTAACTACTATACTATCTCTGCTTTATTCATTTGTTGTTGATATGTCTCAAGGACTTTCTTAAGGAATGCTTCAGACAGGGTGATATTTGAAATACTGAATAGATAGCCAGCCAGTGATTTGAAGAGATATGGCCTCCAGGCTAGAATGGGTCTTGTAGGATGGGAAGGGAAGTGGACTCAAGGTTTTTTTGCTTGTTTGTTTGTTTGTTTTAAACTCACCGCTGTAAGTATTTTGATCAAGATAGCTGTGTAGGTACAATATAGGTGGTATCACATTTGCCTCTCTCAGTTCCTCAGAGCAGCTTCTGCAAAGGCAGCTCCATCATATTTTTTTCTCTGATGTGACTGCCCCAGGTTCTCCATCTGCCAATCCCTCCCTATTAATCTGCAGTGGCCTCCTGCTTGATCAAACTAATCTACTTTCTATTCATTTACTTTACCCTTGAGTTCTAATATCAAAACTAAAAATAGTGAAAGCCATTCCACATCTCCTTGCTGCCAGCTCCCTTGTTTTGTTGTGCTTGGTCAGATAAGTAAAAGATCTCACAAAACATTTATGTCTAAAGCATTTCTTGTTTCTCACCAAACCATGAGAATATACTGCTTCCATGTTTCTTTCTTAATCTTTAACAGTAGAGCTGACTTCACTTTCATGACAGAGCAGGGTTAAGGAATGGAGAGTAGTAAGTCTATCTTCAGGAGAGAGAAAAGGCATGGTGTTCTACATATCATTCTTAGGATGATTTGGGCATTGAGGTGGTGATGAGAGGCCTGTCAAGGTATAGGATGTAGTCATAGGAGAAGGGTCCAGTCTAAATCAGACCAACTTCCTTGACAGTTTTCCCTTTGGAATTTGTAACTTTACACTGTAAAACTTCAAGACAATTCTGAAGCCATTTCTGACAATTCTGAGCCCTCTCAGTCTCAGCAGCAATGCTCCCCACCCCCTCCCCCACTGGGAACGAAGGACCTAACCAGCTATACATGCACATATGTTCTCCAGAAATTGGGGCAAGATAACCTTTAAGATGTTGACTCAGGCCTGAACAATTATCCACACAACAATTATGTTTTGAATCAGCCCCTGGGAAACAAGGTCAAAGTGACCTCTTACCTCATCTGATCTGGCAACTGCTCTCCAGCCAATTATTGGTAATAGCCCTTTTGAATAAGCCAATCATAATAGTCAAAGAACAACTCCCAGACAACCTCCCCTTGCTTCTGTGGCTTTTTCCTTTAAAAATAGCCTGTACCAGCTATTCGGGGTCTTTCTGGCCTCTAATGCTGGAAGACCCTGTCATGACAGAATTAATAAAATCCTCATGCTTTTGCATCAGCTGTGGTATGAGAGAGATGGGTGACTCTTCTTCGGTGATTGGATTCTAGGGTCCAACAACATTTGTCTCTGTATTTACTTTTCAGTGGTACCAGAAATGACTATACATGATTTGTTGAAAAAAAAAAAAGACTATGAATTACAAGCGGGACAAAAATGAAAGAAAGCATTAATCTACTGGTGATCATTGGCCATGCTGGCTCATTTATAGTGCATTTGATGCTTACTTAGCAACTGGGATGCTCTTCTAAAACACACTTTTCATGATGTGGTATCAGATTCATGTGGCACAAATAATAACAAAGATCTTGGCAAATGATTTCTCAGCAACTGAGATTCATCAGAAGCACATATTTTTAGTCAAATGTTGCTAAGTTGATTTTCTGTAACTGAAATAGGCTTATTTTGGTAATTTTTCTCCTTTAAATTATGACACCAGCATCCAAGCATCTGTTAAGCCATAGCATCTGTTTCATATTTGGGATGCATCCCTACAAATTAGAAGAATGCTTTTTTCTAATGAGCTTTGATTTAATAAGAAATCCCTCTCATGACTGAAAGAAAATGACAACGCAGATTCCTCTCTAGCAGCACTGCATAGTAAACCATGTCAGAGGTTCATATGGTACCATCTAAAACGGCTTAATAAAGATAAATGCTATATTGAAAGTTAGTTTGTTTTATAGTTGGTGCTGTTTAATACTTTATAGTTTTATATAGGTGTGTACACAGAGAGAAATTATATAACCAGAAAAAGCAGATGGCCCAGACATCCATATTACTAAAAAAAAAAATAGTCATTTCAAATAAGTCATCTTGAGAATCTAGAGACTGGGAAATCCATAACCTCATAATCTGTCTCTCTCCTGACTGAGATTCACTTGCATGGCAAACTCCAAAGGCATTCTCTTTATTGGCTACATTTGAAGGTGACCTTTACTATTCCCTTTCAGAATCAGTCCCTGCTGTTTTCTGAGTTTTCCTCAGTGTTTCTGGTCTTCACAGTCCTCTCTTTGGGCCTGGATTTTTTGCCTAAGAATCATGTCAAGCTTGGCATCTGATGCAATGGATTAGTTCCAGTCTATCTACCTGCTACTGTTTCAGGGCCTTGCAGTCCTAATTTGTACCTGGCTTGGCTTTAAAAAGGCTAATTTAAAGGTATCAATTTAAAGATTTCAAACTCTCAGATTTTTATGATAAAATTGCCAACAATTTATAAAAGAACCATGGCACTCACGAAAGAACTTAGAGGGGGAGCTCACTGGAAAGAAAGAGGAAAAGTTTAGTATCAGAGTACACCAACTGAGGATACTGGTTGTTGATGAAATCCTGCCACACATTCCCTGTAGGCAGAGTGGTCTCAGCAGGATAGAAATGCTACAACTTAAGACAACTTCTACATATTTTTCCCTTTGCCAGTAGAGTAATAGTGGCATGTCACACCAAATGTGTGAGTGATGCTCTAAAAACTAAATTTTAGAATATGCCATCTGAATGCTTCAGATACACATGAATCACTCTGACTAAAAGTGATGCATTTAAGAGATTTAGTAGTGGATGAAGAAAATCAAAGAAAGAAAAAATAACAAGCTATTTTTGGAGCTCAGGGTGGTCTTATTTAACCTCACTAACCTTAAACTTACCAACCCGAGAGAGCAAAACTGGCAGTGGTGGTGCATGCTTTTAATCCCAGCACTCAGAAGGCAGAGGCAGGTGGATCTTTGTAAGTCCAACGTCAGCCTGGTCTACAAGAGCTAGTTCCAGGACAGGCTCCAAAGCTACACAGAGAAATCCTGTCTTGAAAAACAAAAACAAATTTACCCATGAAACAGTTTTTATGATGTCCCTGGGCAATCTTTTTCAGTGTTCAACGACTTTTAGTAGCAACATTCACTGACGTGAAAGGCAGTCCTCTCACTAGTGGAAACAAATACAGCTTATTTATGGTCACGGGTGAGACAGCACAGTTTAAGAAACACTATCATCATTATTTTGTGATTTCTACATCTGCAGATCTTAACTTTTTATGACTTGCCTCTGCCAGCTGAAAGAGTGCAGAATTCCCACAGCGTTTCACGGGCTCAGCACCACCCAACTGTGAAGTACTTGAAGAAATCTACAAAGAAAACAATCACATAAGCAGTATTAATTTTGATACCAGAATCTTTGCTTTCATATATATATATATATTAATATATATTAATTATATAATATATATATTAATATATATATTAATGAAAATTTTCTTAAATTTTGTAGGACGAACACTACTCCTAACTACCAAACTGCTTTAACTAGATCAAATCTGGAATAATCATTTTGAGCTGCTCAAAAATAGGTGCTGCTCTGATGTACATATAAAGACAAGAATATTATCCTTCATATTCCCAACTCTAAATTTAACATTAGCATGATATGCATGTTAATTTCTACTTAAGAACTAACTCAGCAATTGGCTAAGTAGAAAGATATATAGAATTATTATGCATTTACTAACCAATTAAAAGAAGCATGTGGGTTCTCTGTGGAAAGAACTCATGTGATAGGTAATATGACAGAAACAAGAAGAGGACAAGAATTTTATATAAAATACTGACTGCCTTAGAACACTATGCAGAAACTGCATTCAAACACTAATAATAAACCTGAAACCTATGAGGTACAGTCATCTGCCCGTACTGTGTGGGTTGTACCAGCATATATGGTATTATACTAACTGCATACATTTTTACAAATTTGGCTAAGTAATGTCTGGGCAATATTATTAGTGAACAACACTGTTATTTTCATATGAACACTTCATTTTCAATTTTTAAGCTCAGTAAGAGTTGGAAAAGAGATCTATCTATTCAGAAGGACATGCACACAGCATTCCTCACATGGTGAAGTCATCATGGGATCAGGTAGCTATGGACTAAGCATACTCCACTTCTATTATTCTAAGTTCTTCTCAGTCTATATAAAGTTTTCCCAGTTTGGTTTAGAAGACAATTCGCTTCAGTAACTTGCAGTGACCTAGGTCCCACAGGCAATTGTGTCAACTCGGGGACAGACTGCCTATCGGGTGCTCACTGGTTCTCTCTAGAATACCCATGGAACAAGAGTCCTTCATAGAAACACATATTCAGTATGTTACCTGGGCTATTCTTTAAAAGTCTACTTGATGAAAGTGATGAGGAAATTTTCCCTCCTAGATGCTTCACTTTTAATAAACTCAATCACATCTGATTCTACTGAAGATAATTTAAGGAGTCTCACTCTTTCTGAAATTTGGAATATTTTCCACTAGTCAAGTTTTCACTCATACATACTACATCTTAACTATTACTAGAAAAGTTGAATTTAGTTGTTCGCCCCTCAGTAGACTAAGAAAAAGCTCACATACTATTATTACTGACTTTCAGTAACTTAAAGACTCAAGTACTGAATATAAATGTCAGTCTCCTGAACCAGGGTCATATAATGTAGGAGTCATGGCTTCTGAGCCAGCCAGACATGCCTTCATTACTTTCTGCTATGTAGACTTAAGCAAATAATCAGGACTCCGAGCCTCATTTATTTTTCCTTTAAAATACAAGAAAGCTTGCCCAGTATTATACTGTAGAGATCAGATTTCATATTGGGGACCAGCAGGGTTCTGAGGCCACAGTTCATTTCAATAGACGGTATAACAATCAACACTATGATATATCATGATCACCAGCAAATATAAACATTTTAGTTACATTCCAAAAATTGGTTACACAATGAAATTGAGCAGTTTATAGAGATGAAATATCCAAGGATACAATTTATTAAATTTCATAATGTGTACACTGTCAATTTTGTTGCATGAGCAAATGTTACCAAGAGACAACAAACATGATGGGAAGGGCTGCCCTACTCAGGTCCATCTCAAGACTTCTTCCTACAGTCCCCTCTGCTGTTCCGTTGTCACAGTTCCTGTCCTTTGACTGCACTTCCTCTCTGCTGAATCTGTGCCTCCTGCAGTATAGGTCACACTAAGGGGTCCCCTGCCCCCTGTGAATGCACTGCTCAGTAGTAGGCTTGAGGTGGTTTCTTACACAGTAGGACAGCTCCCTGATTTTTCTAAATCTCTGAGAATATATTCACCTATTCACAGCTACATGACAATATTTAAAATAGTCAAGGCTTCTTAAAGGTCTGATTTCTTTTTTTTTCTTTTTTTTCTTTTTGTTTTTGTTTTGGTTTTTGAGACAGGGTTTCTCCGTGTAGTTTTGCAACCTGTCCTGGAACTAGTTCTTGTAGACCACCAGGCTGGCCTCAAACTCACAGAGATCCACCTGCCTCTGCCGCCCAAGTACTAGGATTAAAGGTGTGTGCCACCATCACCCAGCAAAAGCCTGATTTCTAAAGGTACAGGTGTGTGAGAGGTTCATGCTTCCAAATTCTCTTGACAAAATTCTCATGGAATGATTTACTATGTTCCGTGAGCATTTTTTTTAAATACCTCATTTTCTTTTTTCTTTTGTTTTATTTTGGAGAGGGAAGTATTTTTTCAGAGGTTGGGAGAAGACTGGACATATGATAATTTAGATGGCTCAGCCTTTGTCTAGATTTCTCTGCAGCACCTGACATGCTGATCTTTTCTTTGGCAAATTCCTCTTGGGGCTCCGATTCCTGGAGATGGACCTCTAAAGCCATTCTTTGCTAATCTCTGCTGGCTTCTTTCTACACTGATCCTATAAATACTAGTTTTTTATCAGTTTTCTTCTAGGGCCCACTCCCTTTTTATGTTTCATATTTTCTTTTAATAATTTCATCTGTGATGATGGCTTTGATTTCAAGAAAAAGCAATACAATGTTAAGCTGTCATTTTGTTACTATTCACTCCTGCTAAAAATTTTCAATGTAAGGGACATATGTTTCCACTTAAGTAAAAACAATACTATCAATGTCTGTTTTCCAATGACTGGCCCACAAGCTGCTTCCTACCCATCAGTGTGATTGCCACTCTGGTAGCTAGAGAGTACTGTATACTATGCTCGTGACTGTGAATTTTATTTTCCTCAACATGTATGGTGTCTGTCAATCTGATAATGCTATTGTTTTCACTACGATGTAATTCAAATAAACAGTATCCATTCATAAAGGATAGTAAGAAGGTATAATAGTAAGTAAATAGGTGAAATAAGATCTGCGACACAGAAAAAAAAATGCTAGGAAAAGTGGATGTTAAAGTCCTCATTTTATGTTTCTGTTTGTGCATGAGTATACAAAGTAATAAAGATCAGAATCAAATTAGGAGATAGTGAAATCTTTTGCATTCTAGACACTAGTCAGGAATAAAATGAATGATAACTGTTACACAAATAAAACTATTACGTAAAAAAAAACAAGTGGACATATGAGGATAGCTGGTATTGCTTACTTTAAAAGAAATACTAATGCCTCCAAAAACCCCACAGTATGTCCTGTGATTAGTTGTAGTGAAGCATATGGCATTTTTATGGACATGCAATATTTTGTAATATATTAAGTATTCCATCATGAAAACGAATGCTCTAAATTTGTACCTATTACTTGTATCCTATTGTGACAGAACCTTAAATTTGGAATGATTATGACTCAACTTATACTGGCAGGGTAAATATTTTCTAAGGAAAGGTTTAATGTCCAAATCAATTTGTCTAAATCAAATAGATTAGCTGTATCTTTTTGGTAAGTATGTTATTTTTCAATGCAAAGGTGTATATTAGGTTTAAGAGCCAGTCACGCATCAGACAGAGAATGTATGCACTGTCCATGGCTTTTAGACCTATTAAATAATGGAAAACAATAGCTCCCTTCTGACATTATATTCCACCATCGGTCCTCAGATTTACAGTAAATGATGTGGCGCTTTACCTTTGAACATCAACAATGCCAAAAGGTAACTCAATCTGATCAACTGAATACATCAGAGCTAAGAACCACAGAGGGAGGGGCTAAAATGAATCTAGATGAAACATGAGCATCAAAATGAAGAGACTGACAATTGGGGCAAGCAATCTTTACACTGTATTTCTTTCTAGGTCTTATAAAGCACGAATATTATTTTTCTTCTTTAATATAAACATTCACAAGGAACCTATTAAAAAGAAAGAAGTGCTTTACTGAGCCATGGTTCAATGAACATTAATTTCAACAGGTTATATAGTGATTAGACTTGAGGATGCGATCACCCACTGATACAAGGGGACGGATCTAATGAGAGTTCACCAAGGCCAGTTGGACTGGGACTGAACGAGGACGCGATCCAACCAGATTCTCTGAATGTGGCCGGATTCTCTGAATGTGGCTGGCCCGGAGTCTTTCTGAAAAGCTATTGACTATGACACTGGGACTTGTTTCCTCTGCATATACTGGATTTTGGGGATCCAGTCTGTTCGGATACTCACCTTCCTGGACCTGGAGGGAGGGGGGAGGAACTTGAACTTCCCACAGGGCAGGAAACCCTGACTGCTCTTAGGGATGGAGAGGGAGGAGGAGAGGGAGTGGGGGGAGTGGGAGGGTGTTGGAAGGAGGGACGGAAATGGAAACTTTTATAATTTAATAAAATTACTTTCTCATAAAAAAAAGTCCTCCTCAGTGTTCAATATAAAAATCTAGAGCTTGCAAAAAAGAAAAAAAGATAAAAGAAATACAAAAACCATTTCAACTTAAGGAACTAGCCAGAGCCTTTAACGAGCGTTTCCTTTGCTAATTATACTTCACGATAAATAACCCATTTCTAAGAGAACACATAGTTAAATGCCTCTGAAGACTTTATAAATGAAATTAGCAAGAATGCTTTCTAGGAATACTTTGTGTCCAATCTTATAAATATTTCAAAACTAAACACTTTTACAGAGCTAAATGTTTCCTAACTATATAAACACGGATTCCCTTCTTAAGTAGGTAATAATAGGAGCAAGAACAAGTTAGAAAATATAAATGGTAATTTTCAATCAAACACTTATGCCCTTCCTTCATAAAACAACAGATATGAGAAAGTTCACTAAAAATAACAATAAGATACTATAAGTCAGTAGCAACTGGAGAATAGCAGCCTTAAGATGTGGTTCCTGAAAAGAATCTTGCTGGCAGGTGGAAGTTCTCAGACTGTGTGAATCAGAAGTCCTAGGAGTAGAGTCTAGGAATCTTTGTGTTTCAACAAGCCTTATGGGAAACACTGATTTACTTTAAAGCATGAAAACTTTTGTTATGGACTAATTAGGACAATAAAAGATGATGCTATTTTGTGAAATAATTATAAAAGCAAGAGGGACATACCATCACTGTGATTACAGCCTTCTCTATGTGTTCATCACAGATTTCAGCAGACAACTTCTATTAGTTCATTTAGTTAACTCTGGTGTAGCCTAAGGTGAACCAGCCCACAACTGGGCTAACAGTATAGTGAGATGCCAAAAACCTAGACTGAAACTTAGTATTCCCATCCATCACAAGGAGAAGGACTAGACCTGTTATGAATCATTAGATAAGCACAGACTTCTCTTATGTAAAGCAGATGTAGCACATACTGTTAAATAACTCCAAGTGCCACACTTTAATTTGCTCAAAAATTAAAATGGCTTATATTACCATCTTATGCAAAATATAAGAAGATCAGTTTCCTGGGGCTTGAAGTGGGAAGAAAATGGCATCAGATATGGGGGCATAGCAGAAGTTGTATTTGCTCACATTATCCAGGCGGGGTTATTCACCATGCATGACTTATGCTACAATCCCCTGAAATAGCTCCTGCTAAATTTTCAAATTAACAATCTTAAGCTTCCTCAAATCCCACAGATGCTTTGTGTCAACCAAAAGACTCTGGGGATGAGCGCTGCTAAGCAGCAGTGTGGCCTCCAGCGATGCATCCCTGAAGACTGTCTAGTAACTTTTTTGTTCTGTGTGGGAAAAATAGTACAATTGAGAGGCAAGGACCAAATTTTGTCATTTGATGGGGGAGTGTACTGAGCACAAATTGCTTCCTTTAGGATATTCACTGATTTCATTCTTCAGAATCACAGGACAGTGGCCCTTACAACCATCAGTTTTGTCCTTCAACACTGACCCTGGTCTTCAGAGGCTGCTAATGGACCTGATGATGGTATCTTGTAAGTATCACTTAATCATGCAGTTAGGCACACACACATTTAGTCAAGATGTTCCACAATGGCACTTCATAAAAGTAGTAGACTACTTTTGGAAATTAATATGTGAATATCAGGTATATCAAAGATGAGCCACCGCACCCTTCTAATTCATGCTACAGGGTGAAGACTTTGATTGGGCAGAATATACAGCAAACAAATCTATCTTTTATGAAATGCTTCAGAAAAACTTGATGGGAATGGTAAAAATAAATTCAGTCAACACACCGTCATTCTTTTAAACTTTTGAAAAATATTTAGCTGCAATAAATGGGTATCAATAACTGGAAAAGAGTGAGGAAAAGATATTAAACGAAACTATTTCCCCCAGACAATGAAAACAACAGTCTGCTTATCAGAATGGAAAATTATAATGAAATATTAATGTGCTCAGACTCGTCAAACAAATTGTTTTCCATGAAATAATACTTTGCATTTGTTATTAGTCTGATAGAACAGTCCTTAGCAACTAAAGCAACTACTATAGCAAAGTGGCGTGCCATAAGCAGGCCAGCTGCTGCTACGAGTCTCAGAAGTGTCCCAAGATGAAGAAGCGTTTTTTTTTTTTATAATATAAGAGTTGAAAGTATTTTTTTTCTCATTTTCAAAGTGAAATGCTAGGTTTTCCCTTGCCAAAATGATATCATTTTACATTTCTTATACTCAGTGCTCCTTACTCAAATGAATCAGTGATTCAATACATCAATATTAAACAGAACAGTCTTGCCTATCATTTTCTCTCGATTCTATAAACCATTACTTAGATTCTGATAACACAGTTTTCTTGGAATGAAAAGTACAAGGACCTAAAGCAGGCAGGATGCTTTTTCATGATCTGTGTCCATCTTACAATTTGTCATAGAGCTCTCTAGGTATGAGCACACGGTTGAGGCAAACCAAGCACATCAATCACTAAATACTGTTTGGTGTGTGCTATCTGGATGTAAAGCTGACGAAAGTGGAGATCCAGCGAAAATTGACCTGAGCAGAGCCAAGGATTAGACTCTAATAATAAAATACTGGCTGCAGCTACATCTGGTGGAAAGCTACATAGTGACAATTTAACAAGTCATATTCAACACTGTATTTACTTTGAGAAAGTTATTCCTCAATTACAGCATCTAAATTTGCTTCTGGAAACAATTAACTGGTATCTTATGGCAATCATATTGGCAGCAGGTTTTTTTTGTTGCCTTTTTTAAAGATTAAAGGAAATTAAGAAGGTAAAATGAAATAAATGAACCACTAGTGACTGCTGTGAATGAACTCTAATGAATGCCTTTAAAATGGTTATGAAATCCAGAGCTGAGTTGACTATGATTATGCCAATGGCAAAAAAGGTCATAAATACTCTGTATATTATGCTAATAATGGAAGGGGCATCCTAAAGTCCAACATAAAGATTAGGATTCTTTTTCAGCATTTTCTAAGATGAGCATGATTTCTGAACATAACAGTCATAAAGAAATGAAGGTTTTACCTCTGCAAACTGAAACAAAGTTGATGCTTGACACTGCTTTGAAGGACCATCAGGTTGAGTTGTCCTTGAAGATATCTAAAAGGAAACAAGGCATGTTTACCATTTGAGGATACTTTACTACATCATACCACTAGACTCTGCCATGTATTTCCATGTAGATTCAGAAGTGAGTTACCATTCTAAATCCCTCTTAAAAGATGAGTACAAATGATACAGGAAGAGAATGGTTGTAAAGAACAGAATCTGGCTCATTTCAAAAGATGAACCTTATGAGAATATCCAGTGTATATCAAGCAGCAACATTAAACAGAATCAGATGAATTTTTTCATTTCAATTATTTTTTTCTAAAGATAGCACTATGAAAGCCAGGCATGGTGGTACATGGCTATAATCCCAGCATTAAGGAGGCTGAGTCAGGAAGATTTGAGTTCAAGTCTATAGAGTGAGTTCCAAAACAGTCAGGGCTACAACAGAAAAACCGTCTTAAAACCCTCTCTACTCTGTAAAAGGGGAAAAATACAGTATTAAAAGCTTGAAGCTGCAAGTAGATACAGCCATATTCTTCCCTACACCCTCCAAACTACTTTCTGTATAGAGGCATCTCTCACACATTTGGTATAAGCACATGGAAGTAGGGTCTGAGTAACAGGATTTTAATCTCATTTCCACTTGGCAGGTATATGATCTTAGTTAAACTTCACAAGACTTACTTTTTCATATTGTATATTAGTGATGGTGATAGTGCCTATTTTAGAGAATTATGATGAGAAACAAATATTCCTAAAAATATACTGTCTGGCATAGACCAAGATATAACTGTTTAAATACAAAAGTTATTTCCTTCTCTGTGTGTAGACATGCATGTGGACATGCTTGTAGGGACCAAAGTTGACGTTGGTTGTCCTCCTCAATCATACTCCTCCACATTACTTTTTAAAGCATCTAGAACTGAATCTGAAAGTCAGTATTTCACGGAGACTGACTGGTCAACAAACCCCATGGATTTTCCTGTCCGTGTCTTCCATAGTTGGTGAGTACTCATGCTTAGTTCTCATGCTTATGTGGCAGCATGAGACATTCCTCAGCCCTGATCTCCTTCTGTTGTGACATGTGTAGCCTCTCATCAAACAAAACAAGCATACTTCAGTGTCTAACAGTGCAAAGACGATTCTGCAATACCATATGTTGTTTTGTTTTCACCGAGTAACAGTGATACCCTCAAACTGCTCTGAGGATTAGAATAAAATATTTGCAAAAATTTTAAAGAACAATTCAGTTATTAATTTTTGTTTCAGAATTGATAAAGTTCAGTTACAAAGTCGGATGAAGTGAGACAAAGTGAGCAAGAGCTTGGGGTGGTATTATCATCTCAGCCTACTTGTAGTACCTGAAGAGAACATAGTAGACTGTGTTCATTTGTCACAGAGTATTTACTAAGCAGCACCCTGATCTCCATTCTTCAACCATAAAAATGACTTTCAGAAAAGCAAGAAAACATTATGGTCACATGTAGGCACAGAATCAAAGGTGATATACAAGGAAGAAACAAGATTAATATAAAGGCTGCCTGACTATTGTATTGATACTATTTATTACTGAAGCCACTAGGAAAAATTTAAAGGTACCACATCTTTTGAATTAGATAACCTATTTAAAAATAAATATCAACTAGACAAAAAAAAAAAAACCAGACCATCATAAAAGGATAAAATTTAACCAAGTGATCTGAAGATATTCTAAGCTGAAAATGAGTAACTTTTCTAGGTTCAGCCACCAATATTCTAAGTCCCAGGTATCACATTTTGTCCAAGTAAAATAAACTACAAATGGAAAGCTGCAAGGATTTTCCTCGAGTCTTGGGAATTATGAAGCTAGTAGAATTTACTTCCAATAATACTTCTCATTCCAACTAGCCATCCATAAAAATTAAGAAAAAAAAATGAGCAATTCATATAAAAGGAAAACCTAACCTATAATGTATTTCTTTGGGAATTGAGTCAGATAGCAAACCAAATAGAATCACTATTAAAATCCATGTGTTTTTTTAAAGGCATTTAATAAACAAAAAGATGATTTCAGCTAATGACACAAATAGAGTCTTCTAAAGAAATGTCAAGACCTTTCATATAAAAGCATACTGACACAGATCTCTTTGGAAACTTCTATATGGTATAGAAGCCTCAACATGCACATACTGTGCTATGTACAAAATCTCAAATAGAACTTTATAGAGTTCACTCACTCTATCATTAGGGCTTCACGGACCACTCACTAAGCATATCTGCTTGAAGCTAGGCCCAAATTCAATGAACTTATCTCTAACTCTTGTAAAGGGACCACAGCATGAATTCTCCATTACATTTAGTCCTTGCAGAAATCAATATTCAAAACATTCCAAACTCATTCCAGCCCTCAAAGACACAAGAGATAGATATATATTATGAATATATATATATATATATATATATATATATATATATATATATATATATCTCACTCTGGTGATCTAAGCAAAGCAGCTAGGAATATTCTCAAAGGACTGCAGGAGGTACCAATGCAAACAAACAGACATCTGAAAAATATGGTTGTCCTGTACCGAACCGTGGTAGGAGAGGAAAATGAAGAAAGAACAATTGGCTTAAATATTGGGGTTGGAGGGAGATGAGAGTTCATACTGAGTTCTAAGATTAACAGAGGTATCTTTAGAAAGAGTTTTAATTTCTGCTTTTGACACGGACACTGAGCTAGCAGTTCTGTCCTATGATGTAAGACTCTGGCAAAGGCAAACTTCATGCTATAATATCATGTCATGGCCATGTCCTATGACCAGATTGGTGATGATCTGTCATCAGAGAAGCATTAGTTAGCAACTGATGGAAACAAATGCAGATCAGGAATCCTACGGAGGAGGAAGAGAAAGGAGTGTAGGAGCCAGAGGGGACAAGGAGACCATGGGAAGTCTCACACAATTAACTAACCTGGGCTTATAGGGGCTTGCACAGAATGAACCAATAACCAGGTAGCCTGCATGAACTTTACCTAGGCATTCTGCATATATGTTTACAGTTTGGTCCTCTTATGCGACTCCTAACAGTGGGAACAGGGCCTTTCTCGAACTCTTTTTACTGGCTTTTGGGATCCTGTTTCTCACTCTCAGTTGCCTTGCTATATGGGGAGGAGCTTAGTCTTACTGGAACTTGATATGCCATGCTTTGTTGATACTCATGGGAGACTTGCCCTTTCCTGGATGGAGATGGAAGAGCAGGGGATTGTGGGGTGGGGTGAGGTAATGGGGGAAAGGAATTGAGAAGGGAGGATTTGAGGATGAGGCTGTGGCCGGGATGTAAAATAAATAGATGAATCTAAAAAATTAAAAAAACAGTATCAAGTTAGGAAAGAAGCAAGTATAAAACAATAACAACAAAAACAAAGAATGCACAGGTAAGAATTCTGAGTTTGTTCAGTCTTTGGATTTATCAATCAATGTGTTGTATGATTTAATAATCATTCTAGTTTAATCATAATAATAATTAGCATGACTTAACAAGCTTCTATAAATATTTATTTCTCAATTAAAATAGAACGCCACAAGTGAATATCTGTAATCCTTGTAGTTGGCAAATTGAGGAAGAATCATAAGTTTGATACCAGCCTGGCTATAAGAAGACTGTCTCTAAACCAATCAAACTAAAAGCCCCTGGAGTCCCTTACCTCTTACAAACTTTGATTATATGTTCTTGTCTATAATTAATTGAGCTGAGTAGAGTTCTTTGCTGTTTTCATTTGCTGTCATTAGCCCAAATTTAAACTCGCTTTATAAATGACTCCTTGATTAATTAAGTATAAGATGCAGACATTACCTCAGCAAATTGAAACAATGGCGACTTCTGACGCAACTCAGGTGACTCTGAAATATCAGGCCGGCAAGGCCCAGTTGATGCCTGAAACAAAGACAGACAGACAGAGTGAGCATCATGACAACAGCAGACAAACTAATGCCACCTAAAGCACTGTCAACCTCACGATCTAACAACTGAGGCAACACCAATAAAAAAGTAACTGCTAAGTGCAGCCGGAGTGGGACACATCTGCAGGACACTTGTGGATTTGAACACTCAGTCCACAGTTGGTGGTGCAGTTGGGGAAGGCTTTGGAAACTTCTAGAGGATAGGGGAGCGTTTATAGACTTGTCCAACTTCCTGTTTAGTCTTTGTTTCTTGTGTGCAGATAAAGATGTTATCAGCTGGCTTCCTGCTCCTGCTGGCATGTCATGCCTTCCTGCCACTATGGATGCTGGCCCTCTGGAACTGTCAGCACAATTAACTTTTCCTGTAAGTTGCTTGTGCTCATGATATTTCATCACAGCAATAAAGAATAACTAATACACTTGACAAAATTCTATGCAAGTGACCATTCAAGTGGTAAATAATCAACAGAACTAGCAGACAGCACGATACTTTCAGAATGTGTACAGAGATTAGCACTTTACTGCTGGCTTCCTGTCAAAGCCAGAGAAAGCCTCCTTCCCTGTTCTGTGTTGCCTCAACATTTCCTGTTACATGCAACACAAAACCACAAATTCTGACAGGATAATTCCGGGAAAATAAAACTAAAGTCAAATTCTTATTTTCCAGATTTTTCACATATTTATAACATGAGCCCTAATCTTAAGAAGGTTAGGGTCTACCTAAATATTCTCTTCTTGTAAGATATTTTACTAGCGAACATTTAACATTCTGTTATCGTCTTGTTATTTTCACTATTAACAATACTTACTAAAAAAAAGACACTTAAAATTGTATTTGCCCGGGATTTTTCCAAGAATATACATTACCTCTTTAATTTTATGCAAGAAATAAAAATATTTGTATTGGGAAACATAACCATTTCAGTAGTGAATTCTAGTGAAGAAAGATTTCTTTATTCTGACCTAAGTCTCCCACTTTTTTATAGATGAAATTAATTTAGGACCAGAGAGGTACCTGACACTCACCCTCAGTACTCAATTCCCCTTTATTTAGTTCTCATCATCACAAGACACACTTGTTTACTGTGAATCCTCTCCCAGGGCCCATTACTACATTATTTTCCAAACTATCTAGGCCCAGTGTACTAAAAGGTATTTGTAGAATTACACTGAGAGCGGCAGCAAGTGCTTGTGGCACTCAGGAGGTAGAGGCAGGGGAATCATAAGTTTATGGTCACCCTTGGATACATAAGATCCTATTTCAAAAAAAAAGTATTGAAGGAAAAATCAAAATTGAGTAGTATTCTTTTAAGTCCCCAAATCAGTGGGTTTCTCCTACATTCCTGAATAATGAAGTTGGGTTTTTAAGGGAGAATAGCTATTTTTTTTCACTTTAAAGGAAGAGGCAACAGAAGTTTTACAAATGCACACACACATATACACAAGCATACACACATATCTATCATCTATCTCTCTATCTATCTCTCTATCTACCTACCTATCAATCTATCTACCTACCTATCTATCATCTATCTATCTTATCTATCTATCTATCTATCTACCTACCTACCTACCTACCTATCTATCATCTATCTATCTATCTATCTATCTATCATCGATCTATCTATCTATTGATGCTATTTGCACTCAACTTTTCCACTTGATGGCTAAGGAGGAAGGTATTTTTCTAACAGTGTTACAGGCTGTAGAGTAGAAACATGTATTTGAAAATTTTATGGTCACTTTGGATGTTTTAAAGAGCTATGAAGACTCCTCCAGTGATAAGTATCATGGAGAAGTTGCAGAACCCTTAATTAATTTGCCATCTAGGGCAAGCTTGCCTCTCTATCACCACTTGACTATTAAGCTTGTTGGGATAAATGTACCACCAAGTGCACCAAAGATACCAAGCTAAAGACACCAAGCACACTAAGAAAGAAAGCTAGCCAATAAACCCTCAAATTAGTAGCCATAAAGGCTTGGAAATTTTCTTCTTGCATGAAATGACTAACCAAATTTAGGAATAATAAAGAAACCCTATGCATTTACCTTCTGGATATCTGGAGAGATGAAGAAATTATAGTGTCTTTATAAAATTCTAATAAAAATATACACAAAACAGAATCTTAAAGGATATTTGCAGCAAAATGCATTATAATTTAGGCAGGTCTCCTGGCACAGATCTGTAATCCTACTAACTACTTGGGAGGCAGAGGCAGTAGTGTATCAAGTTCAAGATATTCCTTGGCTGTAGAAAGAGTTCCAGACAGCCTGGCAACTTAATGAGATCCTGCTTTAGGGGGACAAAAAGGTTAAAAACAAGATAAGCAAGCCAACAAAGGCCATGGGATGAAGCTCAACTTAACAAAGTTCTGAGACTTGTGTGACATCACAGAGAATATACAGCCATGACATCACTAGTTAATATGATCTTATGGCATGCAGCCATACATGCAGCCTGTTGCTGGTTACAATGTCATTACAAAGAATACATCAATGCATTCTTACTTCATATTTCATTAGGTGGGAGAGGTAATGACTCTCTGAGAAAGAAAACTGCCCTGGTGGCTTAAAGTCATATTAACAACAAGAAAATGAAACTTTAAGTATCATTTTTAATATATTTTTCACATATTTGATTGTTTCTCCCCAATCCCAACTCCTCCCAGATTCGCTTACCCACCCACTCAACTTTATGTTCTTTCTCTCTCTCAAACTTCCTCCCACAAGCATTTATTTACTTGTAAAATCATCACAAGTCATGAAGTTTAAAAGTTAAACTATTTTCTTTATGAACTTATGGGATGAATGACTTTATAAAACTAATTGAATAGAAGGCTCACACATAAGAAATTATCAAGGTGTTCCTGACCAGGCACAAGAAGGAAGTCTAAGCATGTGTGTCTGTGCTAACCATGCAGCAGACACAGTAGAGGCACAATGAGGAGCTGTTGACTGACTGGAAGTAAAGTCCAAGTAAAGGCTGCCTAGTGGCTGTAAGAGCACAAACAGAACTACTAAATCTGCACTTTGCTCTAGTGGACCATGTCCTTTCTTAAAATGTAGGCATTTGTGAATTAGTGGACTCAGTAAAGAATAATGGGAACAGCACAAAATTAGGAGCCTGCGGGACTGGGATACTACTAAATTATGTACTTAGTGACTTGGTTACCTGACCCTAGTCAAAGCAGAAGAGAAGCATCATAAAGGTTGAGAGTAGAGATAAAAAGGAAGGGAAAAGAAATGCAATAATAAATAATGCCAGGAGCATAGAGGACAGACAGCTGTCCCCAAATTCTCCCTTTGATTTAGATGTAATTCTCAATAAGCAATGAAGGGAAATGATGCAGTTTTTAGGAAAACTAGAGAGCTGATGTAAATGTTTATCTAGAACAAATTAAGGTAGGGTAAATTGCCCATTAAAATTTCATCAGAATGTATATATTCAAAGTAGTAATTTACATTTGTAACCATGATTTCATGTCACCAAGGTAAGTATGAATATCTTACAAACAAAGTAAAATTGGATGTGATACATGTTAGGCATTTTTATCTAAAGATTTAGATTTCAAAATGCAAAAATGATCCTATGATATGGCAGATGTACATATTTTATGAATAGAAAATGTTACACCTATAAAAGGGAAAGTAGATTTCCTACAAAAGGGTCCTATTACAGTCCCAGACCTTATAAGTATAAGATGCTATATAAAACATTCAAATTAATTATTTTTGTTAATTGGAAAATAATTTTTATGGATTGCCACTTATTCTTCAGCATCTGTTCTTATAAATTAATTTAGAGAAAAGAAATAAGCTATGGTTAAACAAGAAAAGAAAATATAAGTAATTGTTTCTAGAAAGTCTCTGCAATAATACATAAAGCCACAAGGTGGTGCTCTATGACCAAAAAAGAAAATATTTACAGGGATTTCTGCCTAAGCACACATTCAAATCTTCTTACACCCAATCGCCACCCACTTTGATTTAGCTTCAATAATGAAGGAGGAGAAATGATGAGTATAATTAAGAATTATGACAAAGTAACATTTTTCCCACAATACCAAATCAGATAGTGAGCAATCACAGGTACGGCACGATTGAGGCAGTTATGATTACAAGCGGCTTAGGAAGCTAAGTATTATCAACGGCTGTTCCTACTTTGCAAAGCACAAAGGCCGAGCTGCACGCTGCTTGGCACTGTGATGAACACACAGTCAACAAAGGAGCAACTGCACATTGTAGATCAACCACATATTCCTACTCTTGCCAGTTCAAATGTTTATTTCTCATTCACTTGTTAAATAAACACTAGGTACCACCTGTGGGAACTGATGCCATTAGAAAGATCAAATGCCACTTGCATCCAGGGTACAACTGGGAATAAAATGATGGCTAAGGGAATGTGCCAGCCCCTTCGTCTGTTTGCAATCCAAGTGAAGAGGATAGCTACACTGCAGAAACAAACAGTGAGAGCATATTAGAAGGGTCCTCGGGAGCACAGAGAAAAATCCTTCATCGCGTGGGCGGAGGGAGTTAGAAGTAATATCTGAGATATACTTGGAAAGAAAGGCAGAATATCCCTCAAAGGAAGAGTGAGAATGACAGTGATGGCAGGTGAGAATGCACAGAGGTAAATCTTGGCTGTGCTTCTGAGAAATGGTGACTTTCCCAGTGTGGGTAAAGAATAAGATGCCATACACACATAGTGGGAGATGAATCAGCCTGACAAAAACTGGGATTCTGTTGTCTGGGAATTAGGCTGAAGGAAACAGAGGGCTAGCCAAGGATTTTAGTTAAAGGAATTACATGATGAGAGATATGCAGTTAGATAATTATATCAGGGGCATGCAGGACAACCATGGCAGGGAGTGACTGGAGGCAGGAGACCAATTAGCAGGCAGGGGAAATAAAGCTGCAGAGATTTAGGGCCCCAATTAAGTCAGAGATAGCACTTGGCAGTCCTCAGTAATT